GGTTGGTTTTTTTTTTTAAACCAAATAAAAACTTCATTATAATTATTTCAAGCTACTTTGTTACCAACTTTATCACTAGAAAAGAGATTTTTTTCCTTAGAGGTTTCACGTACTGGCGGGCAAGTGTGTGTGTGGGGGGGCATCGAGGAGACCTTTAGCATGCTGGAGTTGAGATGGGGGGTGGCCTGGTGGGAAGTGGTGAGGTCACTGGGAATGTTGGCCCTTTGTAGATATACAGTAGTTCTTGTGAGAGCCTGTCTTGGTTCTGGAAGAGGAAGTTTTTATTTAAAAGAACCACTGCCTCTGGCTCTCCTTTTCCCAATGTTGCATTATAACCTTTCCCTGTCACAGGTCATCTACCACAACTCTATGCATGATACAAAGAAGCCAAAGCGTCCTCACCAGAATGATTAAACATTGAGACCGTGCAGTACACCTCCCAAACTGTAAGCTAAATAGGCCTCTTTACATGGGTATTGTGTTATAGCAGTGGAAAATGAGATACTGCACATACACACAAGGGGAAATCAGCAACACATTAACCACAACTCCAAGTGAAGTAAAGCTCTGACCTGCAAGTTATTCAGAGGTTCCATCTTCATGACTGGGCCCAAGGTGTTGAGAGGCAGAGAGACATCAATGCTCTGGTTTGGCATCAGTGGAGTGTGTATGGCCAAGGGAGTGCTCGGGATGACACCGAAGCTAGAGAGAGGAGGAGCAACACCCAGACACTCGTCAAGAGGCAGCCGCCACACACCGCTGAGTTTGCATGGTTTCTACTACAGTGAAGTAACTTACAGACAACTAAATGAGAACACCAACCTGCTCCAACACTGGCTATGCCAGAACTTCTGACCACTGCCATTAGATGGAATAGAAGAGGGAGGAGGTGTTCACAGGCAGGAGCTATTGCTGATGCTAGGATTTTGAGAGATTCTTCTGTATATCATGTTTTTTTGGGGGGGGTCAGAGCATCTCTCTCTCTCTCTCTCTCTCTCTCTCTCTCTCCCTCTCTCCCTCCCTCCCTCCCTCCCTCTTCATCTCCTTCTCCTTCTCTCTCTATATGTATGTATATATATGTATGTATGTATGTATGTATTTATATATCTATGTCTATATCTATATCTATATAATTTTTTTCTGTAAATAATCTTTTGGAGAAAGATTTAAGAATCTCTCCTCTGTGAGTAAGCCTAGCACTTATGAGTCTAAGACAGGAGGATGACAAGGAATGTTCACTTTGTAAACAAAAGTATGAAAATTTAATGTTATATCACTAGCTTCCTAATCTATCTGGTCAGTATAAAGGTAACAGTTTACTGTTTTCATTGTTCAAGACAGACGAGTTTCTACTCCCAAGGCACAGTGAAAAAGTCATCTTTTCTTTGCTAGTATTTGTCATTGTCTTGATAGGATAGCCATTCTGATTGTATGAGACAGACTTTCGAAATGGTTTTAATTTACCTGTTCTCAACGGACAGTACTGTTTTTGTAACTGTGTTTCTTCTTTGGAGAACTGTATGTTTAGTCAGTTTATTAGCCTATTAACTTAATAGTGTTTTTTGTTGTTTCTGATTTTGTTTTGTTAGACAAGGTTTCATGTAAGCCAAACTGGCTTTGAATTTAGTGTGTAGTCAGGGATGATCTTGCACTCCTGATTCTCCTACCTCCATCTTATGAGTGCAGGGATTACAGGCATGGGCCATGATACCCAGATTTGACCGGAAGCTTAATTTTCAAAAACCATTTTTGGCCAGGCATGGTTGTACATGACTTTAATCCCAGTACTAGGGAGACAGAGGCAGGTGGATCTCTGAGTTAGAGGCTAGCCTGGTCTACAAAACAAATTCCAGGACAGCCAGGATGGAAATCCTGTCCTGAAATCACCAAACAACAATAATTTCTTTTCTCTCTCCTCTCTCCTGTGGTTGTATGTGTCTCTGTGTGTGTCTGTCTTGTGTGTAGAGCTGGGAATCTAGCCCAAGGCACTGTGTATGCTAAGTGAATGCTCTTCCACTGAGCTATACCTCAAGCCTATAATTTTGTCTTTGTTCTCCAGAGCTGAAGCTGACAGCTGAACAGACTTACAAGAGCTATGCTTAATCTACATTTAGGACTTGCCAGCTTGAATTTTTACCCCATGTTGATTGGAGCACATTCAGAACAAGACACACAACATCAAACCCAGCATGTTGCTTCTTACCTATTCTTATTAAACTGGATGGCAAAGTCTGTCATATGCTGCAGAGCTTTGTTGGTGAAGTTCATTTCCATATAGATGTGCCCTTGGCGGTGAGTAAACGTCCCCGAAATCTCCAAGCCTTTAGCCTTTACTGCAGGCAGCCAGACCTGATAAGATACAGCACAAAGACCAGGAGAGATTTAACCTGGTGCTGCTCTTTTCCAACATGTAAAGTGAAATTCACATCTCTTCAGAAAATGATGGTGATTTTTGCACGACAAATACTAAGTCTGTGTGAAAAGGTCTGAATAAAGTATTTTTTGAATTTTGAGATCACACTCAATTATTTAAGAACCAATTTAAAATAAAAGTCTATGAGCAACTGGCTTCTTTTCTATCTTCTGTTTAACTTGGTCATTTTATTATTTTAAGAACTGTTGCCAAATGCTTATACAAGGAAAAAACATTCTGATGAGTACCATGTTTCTGTTAGGCCTGAAAAAAAAAAAAAAAAAGACTTGAACGGAAGAAGTTGAATCTGCTAATGCAAACAGTATGTCTATAATAATCATTCAAGACATTTTAATATTCCTAGCACCCCAATAAAGGGAAGGACCATATATTGCATTGATAATCTCAATGCTTTCTTCCATATATTATTGATTATGTATCCTTGGCCGAGAATCTATGATATCCCTGATTCATGCTACTTAAAAAAATAAATCAAGTTTGCGAGCCATTATAACCCCTAGTTAAAGAGTTTATGGATAGTGAATAACCATAATTTACTCAGTTACACTGAAAAGAAAAAAACAGAAACATAAGATATTGTTTTTTTACTTATGAGAGTCAAAAAGCAAAGCAAACCAACCAACCAACCAACCAACCAAACAAACAAACAAACAAAACTCCAAATAGCTAATAATACCTGGAATAAGTTAGAATATGGGAGACTTGGTATTCGTTATGGTTTGGGGGCAGCAATCTGACACCATCTTTTCAGAGGGCAGATTGGTAATGTCTGTTTTAAATGTGAAATAATGAAGCCAATTGCAAAGTTACTCTACAGATACCCTTATAAAACCATCCCTGTCTGCCTGTTGAGGAGTTGTAGGTATGGGTGCTTTATCATACGTATATCAGTAGGTGACAGGGAGGAGAGAGGCTATGTCTATGCTTAGAGTTCTGATCTACGAACATCTGAATGATCAGTAGCCTAATATTTCTGAAAAAAGTGAGCCTGAGACAACCACCAATCTGACGTTAGGCAGACCCACAGAAAGGGAGCTAGCCTGAGGTATCAGGTAGGCCAAGATGGGCTCCCAGGACATGGGTAGAGGCGGTGTGTTGGTGGGGGAGAAGCCAGAAAGAAGGGGTGGGGCGAGACAGATAGACAAACACAGAGAGACAGAGAGACTAGAAGAATCCCACCCCCTGAATACCAACATGGGAGATCTTATATCAAAGCTACAAATCTGTGCCCAAACACTATGGCTCAGTTCTGAGTCTACTTTTGGCTAAAAGTATCTACTTTGCGAAATTCATCCAGGGAAAACTCTCTGCTTGCCTAGAGAGCTCTCAGTCAGAAGTCCAGTCTCAGATCTCCAATTAGCTCTGCTGTTGTGAGCACCTGATTTGATGACACTCTTTTGTTGGGCTCCCAATTGGGTTATGACAGTTGTCTCCACAAGGTGCTTGTGAGCACCTGATCTGATGACACTTTGCTGTCTATCTGCAGCTCTTATCTGTTCTTTCACTTCTGCCTGCTACATATTAATACATTTACTCATTTGAAACCACAAGTGTGGCTGTCATAGGTCATTCATTCTCTTTACAGAACACTGGCACCTAGGAAGCTGATACAAAGGACCCTGAGCTGGAGTTTAGGCTACAAAAGAAAAGAGGTGTCTTAAAACCTGTGAAAGTAAGTCTGAGAGACTACGCTAGAACCCTTCTCTAGTACCAATGAGGAGGGGGAATGAACAGAAGTTGTTTAAAAAACAAAAACTAAAAACAAACAAACATGCCACTTTTCTCTACCATATGTCTCTTGCTGATGTACTATAAAATGATGTAGCAGGTTTTTACTGTACTTGAATGCTGACAAATTGGATGTCTCTAAACATGAAGCCTAAACTCTTTAAGTATTTAATATTTCCAATTTTAAGTCTAAATGTTTAAGGGGGATGTTAATGGTGTTTCCTACGGTTAAGTTCGAAGCTAGCCTTTATCTTCCTCATGGACCCTCTGTGTTAGCAGAAGTAACTTGTTAGAAGTAATCTAGGGTTTGTCTGCTGAAAAAGAGTTGCTTATCTACCTACTTACCGCCTTAGGAGCCACATATCCACCAGGTGCCATGCCTATCCCAGTGGAAAGCTCAAACAGGTCATTCAGACCACTGCTGACCACAGCAGGAGTAGGTGAAGGAGCGAAGGTTGCAGGCACTGATGACGGGATGAAGGATTGTCCTACCTTTGGGGAAAAAACAGAAAGAGATGAGAAAGAATACATTAGTTGTCCTTAAAATGTTACTTTAACAGCATTGGTAAATCAATTAGAAAACACTGCAGTTACAGTATTTGCAAGAATCAAATCAGCATAATGTCTCCATGACTTTTCTCCACCACTGATAAATGTACATATGCTTTAGAAGCTTTGTCAAGGCACAGGTAGGATGCGAGAACACAGCGATCCAGGATTTTGTCTTGTTTGTTTCCAATTTTAGCTTCCATGATTCTGTGCAAAAGGCCTATAGGTACCCTAACAAAAGAGGAGTTTGTGTCTATAGAACAAGGGAGAAGCATTCAACTAAAATAGTTCCACTTCCACTTGGGTTTGGCCAAGACTGACTTCCCATTTGGGCATTAATATCTAGTAGGAAGCTCTCCTGAGGGAGCTGATATTCACACTTCGTAGGAACTCATCTATGAGGAAAGTGTCTCTATGCATCCAGCAAACTCTCTCAAAGTCTTTCTGGACACCAGGGCATAAAAGCATTCTGTAGTCAAGATGGGAGGTTCCATTTCCCTCAGCTCTTTAGTGTTAGAACACAAAGACCTCTACAGGCATCACAGCATCATTCCCTAAAGATGTCCCTAGACCACATGTGGAATGTGACCCAAGATTGCAAGGAGCCCTGCACTCTCTACCCTCACACACTGCTACCGAGCTTGTGGCATGCAGTGCTAGAGAGCAGAAGTGGCTCTGACAATGGGTGTGAAGGAAAGCATCAAACAGGGCGGAGCTTCCCATGGTGAAAAAAACAGATGGCACTTACTGCCGGACTTCCTCCAATGCCCCCGCCAAGGTCACTGCCAAGCTGAAAGAGAGAAAGGAGAGAGAGGAGAGAGAGGTAGAGTTCATTTAGCTAAGTACTAGATGCCCATATAGATTTTGTAAATTGATCTACCAAGTCATTGGAAATGCATGCCATTTGACTTGTCTCCCAAAGCCTAAGGGCTTCTAAGTTGCCAAGAAACATGTCCTAGGGGAACCGAGCAGTGGTAGTGGAAGGGTGGGAGAGTTTTGTAAAAAGTTGGAAAATGGAGCTGGCACATCATAGTGACGTTTCTTATCCTGTTTGTCTACACAATTCATTGGCACAAATCCAAATAAGATTTTGACAATCTTATTGTATTTGACACAAAAACAAGTAAGTATTTGTATTCTCTAAAAAGCTCTATGCCCAAGCAGCATTATTTTTCCTTCACAAAGAAATTGAAGGCTGGGGGGAAAAAAGCAAAGGAAGACTGAAAATGCTTTAGCCTACAAAACCTGCTGCCTTACTGAAGTGATGGGAAACAAACCAATATTGAGTTGCAACTTCTAGCTTCAAAATTACCCGTGGAACATAAAGGTTTTTCAGTTGAGAATACTCTTGGGGAAAGCAGCTAGTACAGAAAGTCAGCAAGCATGCTCTACACCTCCCACAGTCACTTCCTCTCAACAGAGTTGCAGTGATTTACTTGGGGCTTGTCATTTAAAGGAGGCAAAGAAGAGAATTAGACTGTTAGTTGTTAGGAAAACAATTCCACAGGCTCTCATGTAAGCCTTGCTTCTTTCCCCTTAGAGCCTGATAACAAATATAATTCACCCTGAAGGAAGACTTGTCTTCATGACAAGACCAATGAGGAAAAACTGGAGCTGTTTGGCTTTAGGTGGTCATACCCTGCCACACACACCCACATGCACACACATATTCACACACTCGAATGGTACTATTTACAAAGACTTCTTGGTGGGGTGACATCTGCAGTCAGCCTTGTATTTGCTTCCTCCCTAGCCCCCTGGAAGGGGCTCCACAAAACATCTCATTCATCTTAATGCTGATGTGGTTTGTGACTTCCTATTAGGCTTACCTCTACACTCTTGAGAGTAGGCCCCTCCTCTGGCCAGGTTTGAAACCCAAGCTTAAAAGATAAACTTTTTTTTTTTTTTAAATCAAATTGGTTGACATATGCTTAGAAGAAAAACATTTTAAAAGTAACAGTTTTACTAAATATTCAATAAAAATCACAGAGAAGAGGTAGCCATTGGTGATATTTAAACTAAAGGAAGAAACACCTACTGTGGCTTAGCCTGAAATGTCTCTATTAGGTTCCTATGTTTGAGTCTTTAGCTGGTGGTGCTGTTCTGCTTCCTGCTTCCTGCTTCCTGATCCATCAAGATGGAGGAGCCTCTACCACATACTCCAGCTGACATGAATTCTTTGTGCTTTCCCTGCCATGGACTAAAAAGGTATTGTATTTATCACAGTGATGTGGGAATTCACAAGAAACCTAGTTGTAGTTCTTGTGAGACAGGGTCTCAGAGTCCCTGGCTAGCCTGGAATTATAGAGATCTGTCTGCCTCTGCCTCACAAGATCTGCCACCATGCCTAACTCATTTTAGTTCCTCCCCCCCTTAGATTTTTATTCTCATCTCTTGAATATTATGAGACTAACAGCTGGAAAATGTTTAAACACAATCTTTCCCCATGCTACTGACCAATTTTATTTGAAACCACAGAAGAAACAATCTTGGGGTTGCAGAGATGGCCCAGTGGTTAAGAGCACTGGATGTTCTTCCAGAGAACAAGGGTTCAATTCCCAACACTCACATGGTGGCTCACAGTTGTCTATAACTCCAGTCCCAGGGGATCTAGTATCTTCTTTCAGGCATGAATGTGGTGCATAGACATACATGCAGGCAAATACCCATGCACATAAAATTAAGTAAATTAAAATATATGTTAAAAAGGAAAAGAAAAACAATCCTGATGTTCCTTTTTTATAACACTGACAATTTAGAATCAAGAACTCATCTAGAATCTGACACACATAAGACCCAAAGACGCAGTTAGAAATATAAAGGCTATGGTCCAAGTAAAGGAAAAGAATAAAGCCAATGTTTCCCAGATAGCAAAACTAGATGTAGCTTATTCAGGCTTTATTTTGAATCTTTCCTCTTAACTACAGAAGATTTCGAGGGAGATCATCCTCCACTTTGACAATATGTCAATGTAGTAGCAAAATGTTGGTGAGAGGCAGTGACTAATATAGAAAGAGGAAGATGAGCGAGGATAGAAGCAACCCAATACATGGTCTTAGCTATCCACCACACTGACAAATGTAATGCAGCAGATAACCAAGAAAAATACCTAGGAAAGTCATTATATATCAGTCTTAATGAGACATCTCCAGTTCAATGCTGAAATGAGGTTTATCTTGTAGAGAGTGTTCTGAGAGCTCACACTTATCAGGATCCTATACTAAATCAATCACACGAGGGCCTATACAATTCAGGTTTTTGTCTGTTATCCAGTGAGCTATGGAAGGCAGAAGTGAAAAGGAACTCGTGTGCTAACCTTAGGTGTTTAAATCCTTCAAAGTGTTCACATGTCACATCCTACCGTCCCCAGGATTGTCTTACTGAAGTTCATTTTTCTTCATGAAGAAAAGAATGCCAACTACAGGACAACTAAATCAGAATACAGGAAGAAGGAAGGAGAGGTGTCAATTTGGGGGCTGGTGGGGGGTAGCTTTTGTTTTGAGACAGGGCTTGCTATATATCTTAGGATGGTCTTGAACTGATAATCCTTCTGCCTTAGTCTGCTGTATCCTGGGACTATAGGCATGAGCCAACATGCATGGCTATGGAAAAGAGTATTTCAAATGCTAAAAACTGAGGATTCTTCTAAAGGTATTTAGCTGATACTTTCAATGAGTAGTGCAATTTCCTATTCC